GACGCGCAGGGCCTGGCACACAGCAGACATGGACTACATTTGTGGAATCAATAATAAATACATGAACAAATTAATCTGATTTAAAGTTAGCCAATTAACTTTATTAATCACATAATAGGTTTTTTAAAAATATACTTTGAAATTCTGGATCCAGAGGCAAAGTTAAAATATCTTTTTTTCCCCTCATTTTATTTTATTTTATTATGTTATGTTAATCACCATACATTGCATCATCAGTTTTTGATGTAGTGTTCCGTGATTCATTGTTTGTGCATAACACCCAGTGCTCCACGCAGAACGTGCCCTCTTTAATACCCATCACCAGGCTAACCCATCCCCCACCCCCTCCCCTCTAGAACCCTCAGTTTGTTTCTCAGAGTCCATCGTCTCTCATGGTTCGTCTCCCCCTCTGATTTCTCCCCTTTTCATTTTCCCTTCCTTCTCCTAATGTCTTCCATGTTATTCCTTATTATCATATTATCATACTTTCCTAGGAAGATAAGAATACAAATGAAAATATGATAATCTTTCATATTTATCGGAGAAAGCTTTTCCTCCATATTTTCACGGTCTCTTCTGCCACTAATCGAGTCAACAATGTTGATTTATTTAGGGGTCAGGATAATGAACCGACTGCGTATCGGCCTGTGGGCTGGGTCAGGGGCCGCGAAGGGCGTCAGCGACTCTCAGAGGCTTCCAGAACACACCGCCAGTGTTCATGGACCCCCCAAGCACTGCCATCCTCGGAACGTCTCCCTTCTTACACTGTGGCAAAATACACATCACGTAAGATTTGCCATCTTAACCGTGTTTCCTGCACAGTCCAGCGGCAGGAAGTACGTTCCTGTGGTGCAGCCACCGTCCATCTCTAGAACTTTCCATCTTCCCCCACTGGAGCTCTGACCCGTCCAACACTAAGCCCCACCCCTGCCCCGGCCGTGCTGCACACCCCGCTGTTTCTGTCTCTGGGGATGGGACAGCCGCAAGGACCTCATGCGAGTGGGTTGTGCAGTGTCTGTACTTCTGTAGCTGGCTTATCTCTCCCGTGCCCCACACCTGTCCCCCTGCCCGTGGGGCATCCATCTCCTGCCCTCCCAGGCCGGGCCCCAGGGATGCCCTTCTCCCAGAGGCTGCAGCCCCTCCTGCACAACCCTGTCCGCTCCCCCCTTCCTTCATACAGGTGGTGTGAGGGTGTAGACGGTCTACACTCCACACAGTGTGTGCTGTGCTTCCATAACACACCGCAGCCCAAAACAGTAGATGCACCAATGGAGTCTCAATAGTAAGTCATTTTCGTTTGCAAAACCTGTGGGGTAAGCAAGGAAGATACTATTTCCCCCTTTGCAGCTGAACAAGCTGGCGCTCTGCGGGGTCAGGGGTATGGTGGGGGCCGCAGGTCACCGGTGGCTAGACGGTGACGCGGGCCCGGGCCGAGCCACTCAGGGTCTCTCCAGGACGCTCTCGGCCTTGTGCCTTTCTCTTGGGTTTTCACTGCTTACTTATATTTTGGTTTTCCTCATATCCAGTGGCATACCAGTAACTGGCCATCTGGGAGAAAAGATGTGGCGTTTTCTAAGCCCTGCGGGGGCGGGGTTCGTGCCCACCATGGCAGGCTCACCGATTCCAGAACATTCCACGCTGAGTCGCCAGCGTGGCACC